TTGTGTTCTTTATCTCTAACGCGACTGTGCCGTTTACAGGCTGAAAGCTGTGCACACACGCACACACACACACACACACACACACACACACACACACACACACACACACACACACACACACACACACACACACACACACACACACACACACACACACACACACACACACACACAACTTCCCAAATGGATTCTGTGAGAGGTAGGAACATTTTCTTTCGTAAAACCTGATTTTCCATCAGTTGATGCCAACATTCCTACTAAAATAATCATTTTTCCTGGTAGGACTTGTGCTTTCTGGGCCCTGCTCCCATCCAAGCATCCCTGTTGAAACAGATGAGAGGGTGACAGCTCCTGGGGCTGAAATGTTCGTGTGTTCCTCATGTGACCATGGTGGACATGAAGATGGAGCAAAACCTCCTCTCCGGGAACAAAGAGACCCAGGCCCCAGCTGGCTTCCTGGGAGCTGGTACCAACCTGAAGCAGCAGCAGCAGCCCATCGAGGTTCTCCAGATCCATACATTATGTATGCCACACCAGCACCCCCCACCCCCTCTGAATATGCCTGGCCTCCCAGAATTTGGCAGCAGGAGCTCATGAACGATCGCAGTAGGGGCCCCAGTCGCTCTTCCATTTGCACCTGGGGCCATTCCACAGAGGAAGCAGGATCCTTGGAGCCCCCCCTGCCACTCATGTCCAATATAAACTTCGAGCCATTCAATCCAACCCAGTATCGAGTCCAACACATGGCTGGTGAGTAGAGCAGTCGTTTAGCTCGGTAGGAATACATGAAACTAGCTTCAAAAGCTTGTTGCTTTAATATTATCATTAAATATTTCACTACTGAAATATATTGAACTAAGTTCTCAATAGAGTCCTGACCCAAACATAATCGAACCAACAAGTGGAAATGAGTACTTTGGAGACATTTGTGTTAAAGCATCTTGAGTCCTGGTTCCAGGTGGGCCTCTAGGGCCCAAAAGAGAGGAGTTGCGTGGGTAGCCGGACCTGCAGAGGACTCCAGGGGGTCAGCGATGCACTGAGTAGCCCTTCTGATCACATTACCTGCCATTTCTCTGAGTTGTTTCATGGGAGTTGTTTCAATTTTAGTGGCGCTCATGCGCATGCTTATGGAAAGAGGCAGACTCTCGAGGCTAAGTTCTTTAAAGTCGCCATTTCCCTCCATACCCGGTTCATTTCAGCATTCACTGTCCCACCCAGGGGTGAAAGCCTCTGTAAAGCTAATTGGTTCCAGATTCGTGTAGCCTGGGTTGTGCAAGACAGTTTGGGAGTGGGCCGTGGCATGCGCACCAGGCCAACGCGCTAAGGTCCACAAACACACTAAGACCCCGCTGGAACCCTTCCCCATTCCTGGCCACCGTTTTGACCATGGACATGCTCACCTAGTGGCAGGGTCCCTTCCTCCTTCTCAATGTTTCACCCACCTCTTGACCATGGTTGACTGGACCACACGTTGGCCAGAAGTGGTCCCCCTGGCCTCTACTATGATGGCGTCGGTGGCCCGAACTTTCCTGTCATCCTGGGTTGCCCGTTTTGGCCCATCTTCAGACATCATTCAGACAGAGGCCCACAATTTGCCTCCTAGTTGTGATCCGCGATGGTAGCTGGTCAGGGGGTCAAGGTCCACCACATCAGCGCCTAATGGGTTGTGCGAGCGATTCCACTGGTCTCTGAAGGCTTAGCTCCAGGCTGCCCTGTCAGATATTAACTGGGCTGACCACCCATCGTGGGTCCTCCTGGGCCTTCGCTCTGGGGTTAGGGAAGTCCTTGGTACGTCCCCAGCTGAACTAGTTTTTGGCCAACCAGTACGCATACAAGTTCGGTAGGGTCAATGGATAAATGTAACTGAGTATCTTCAACATGACAGTGGAAGTTTATCCCATGCTGTCTAATGATTTTACCAATTGGAAGCATATATATATATATATATATATATATATATATATATATATATATATATATATATATATATATATATATAGAATGGAATGGAAGAATTGTTCCAAGCACTGAACCCTGTGGTACTCCGCAAGTAACCCTGGAGTATGAAGAAGATTTGTCATGTACATTTACAAAATGAAATCTGTCAGACAGGTAGGATTTAAACCAGCCTAACGCTGTTCCTTTGATCCCTACAACATGTTCAAGCCTTTCTAAAAGAACATTGTGATCAACTGTGTCAAAGGCAGCACTGAGATCTAACAAGACTAGAACAGACACAAGATTCTTATCTGAGGCCATGAGAATATCATTTGTAACTCTCACTAATGCAGTTTCAGTGCTGTGATACTCTCTAAAACCAGACTGAAATTCCTCAAACAGAGCATTAGTGTTTAGATGCTCACATACTTGGATGGGCACTATTTTCTCCAGGACTTTGGATTAAAATGGAAGGTTAGATATTGGTCTATAATTCATTGGGTCATCTGGATCCATAGGTTTCTCAAGCTGAAATGCCACCATAAGGAGTGTAGGCACATCCCCAGCAGTTGAAACGTTGTCTTATGGCACCCCAATGATGCATATGTTGTTACGGTGGGACTTGGATTCCAAATCCTCACATTTGTTTTCCAACGCAGCCATCTTGTTTGACATTCCATCCATTTTATCTTGGAGATAAACAATATCAGTCGTACGTGTGGAAAAAGGCTGCTCCATTTCTGTTACCACGCCTGATTGACCTGATAGATATGAGATTCTCCGCAAGCACCATGGACAGCTCCCTTCTGAACATTATTGAAATTTCCCCACGAATCTCAGATAGGAGTTCAACCTTCATGAAACAGTCCATTTAGCAGACGGCGTGTCGCATAGTCCAGGCGGGGCTGCAGTTGAAGTAGCACGCCTGGTGGCGGAATGAAAAACAGGCGTTTTTAACAGCTTTTAGCGACATCATCATTGTCCGAAGCAAATTCCAACAGGTTCCAGAAGCACAACAAAATAAAACGATTACAAAAATGCACCTAAAAAGGAAATAATACTTAGACTCTGCAGGTGTGACAATCGATGTAGTACTACCAAAGTACTATGCTATCTTGTGCCAAACCGAAGTCCCGTGAACATTAGTCCAAATAATGTATTGCATGCTTATAAAGTATTGCTTTATGAAGGTAAAAATGTGTAGTGGGGTTATATCAACCTACCTTTTGCCTTTCACGCACTTTGTTTTGTTTCCTTGTTTCATAGTTGACTATTTTCCAATCCTTCCCATCTCATCTTCCTGTATCTCCTCTCAATCCTTCAGAAAAGCTGTTGCCTGCTTTCCTACTTTTTCACCTGATGAGCTACTTTTGAACAAAGCAGATCAAAGGGACCTACTGACCACAAAAATAGCTAAGTGAGCACCGCACGGGTTAGATTCACGACCACCTGTTTCAGGGCAAAGCAGGGGTCTCCTACAGCTGTGTTCCAACAGAACATCACATTGAATGTCTGTTTTAAGTTCAGTTTTGAAAGTGGACTCCATAAAACCCATTTTCTCCTTTGGATCTTGTTCATAGTTCTGAAAAATATTCATGGTTGAGTAGAACATCACTTTTTTTCTCACATTTGTCTCTGCAGGTCCAGATTCAATCCTGAGAATAGGTCTGAGACAGAACACGGGCTACCTACCAGCACCCATTCACAGGAACCATTATTATAACAATCCTGAGAACCTTGCAGGTCCACTTCAGGAGACGCCACCCCAGTAAAAACTGTTCACTTCCTACTGCAGCAAGTGTTAGTCTGTGTGAGCTTTTCCATTGATCAGCCTTTCTTCTCCAGGAATCATCCTCAAAGTAGACGTCCTTCTCAAGTAGCTCCAAACACCCGCCATGGAGTTGCTCCTCAGTGTGCACCACTTCCTGGAGACGTAATGCATGAAGTCAGCGTGAACAGCTCCAGCCTGGCAAGTCCAGGAGCAGCCACCAAGGAGGTCAAGAGGACTATTAGTCTGCCCGAGGAGAGCAGTAAGCCACACCCAGGCCAGACATGCTTGTCATGATTTGCTGTTCGAGTGAAGGGCTGACAGTTTAATGGTCTTTCATTAACAGGAAACGTGTTTATCACATATTCAGTGGACACAGCCAACGAAATCCCGTCCTTCATCAGCTTTCTACGTAGCCAGGGCTTCAATCCAGCAGTAGGTCCTTTAACATCCTGCTTACCCTTGTGGTGTACAGATTCATACAATCACCATGCCTCTCTGTAGATTGACATGTTTGACAATCCTATCCGAAGAATGGGCATCGCAAGGTGGATGGACCGCTTTCTTAACGATGTAAGCCTGGGCGAGTCTGAGCAAAGGTCCTGTCTCGATAACAAAATCAGCTGATCGAGTCGTGTCCTTTCACAGAAATCAGTCCTCATCATTGTCATCATCAGCCCCAAATACAGAGAAGATGTGGAGGGATCTGGAAATGACGAGCACGGCCTGCATACCAAGTACATCCACAACCAGGTGAGTAGGGGAGCAATCTGCCAGCATCACCCTGAAGAGGTAGATCTATACAAGTATCTATAGTACCAGTCCTAATGTTAGTATCAGTACTGGATGAATGCCATTGTGATCAATAGTTTAGTAGTTAGTTTTTTTCTGTAAGTCATTTTTGAATTAAGAACTTCAATAAGGCATCAAGTAGAAAACTAAAAGTGGCTGGTATGTTTGAGTAGGTAAGAAGGCTTACCAGGAATTACTAAGTAAGTGAAGGTGACCCAAACTAAAGCAGCACTTCAAACTGGAAACTAACAAAATCTCAATAAGATATTAGGAAGTAAACTAAGAATGGGGGGGGGGGGGGGGGGTGACTACAGGTGGTACTTTGAGGAGGTAAAAACGCTAACCATGAATTACTAAGTGTATGGAAACATTGATTAACTAAAAGTGTAGGTGGCCAAAAATAAAGCCGTAAAATCAGTAGAATGAACTACAAAAATGTAAAGTTAGCGGGGAATTAGTAAAACTAGGAGTGGAGAAGAAAAACAGACAAGAAGCATGAGAAAGTTTACATGAGGATAGGAGGAGCAGATGGAAAAATGCATTTCAGAGTTACCCCCAATAAGAGATAGATCTGATATACCAAAAATCACCCCAACATGTGTTACCCTAACCCAACATGGGTAACCCTAATCCTAACCCAACATGTGTTACCCTAACCCAACATGGGTAACCCTAACCCAACATGTGTTACCCTAACCCAACATGTGTAACCCTAACCCAACATGTGTTACCCTAACCCAACATGTGTTACCCTAACCCAACATGGGTAACCCTAACCCAACATGGGTAACCCTAACCCAACATGGGTAACCCTAACCCAACATGGGTAACCCTAACCCAACATGGGTAACCCTAACCCAACATGTGTTACCCTAACCCAACATGTGTAACCCTAACCCAACATGTGTTACCCTAACCCAACATGAGTAACCCTAACCCAACATGTGTTACCCTAACCCAACATGTGTTACCCTAACCCAACATGTGTTACCCTAACCCAACATGGGTAACCCTAACCCAACATGGGTAACCCTAACCCAACATGGGTAACCCTAACCCAACATGTGTTACCCTAACCCAACATGGGTAACCCTAACCCTAACCCAGCATGTGAGCACAAACAGATTGCAACATCAGTCCACAACAGGAGGGTGGAAGGGATTCCCTATTCAACCAAGAGAGTGTGCAGCATGTTGTACCTCCTCTGCTGTCAGGGACGGTGTTTTGAGGTGGAAAGAGCAATGAGTCCCTGGTGACGCCGTGACCTCACGGCCAGATCCACAGTTCTACATCAGGAGTAGGTTTGGGAGGGCAGAGCGAGATTCAGATGACGATGATCGTTTTAGAACAAACTAGAAATGTGTTTTCCTCCCTCCTCTTTTTAGTCTTTGCTGATCTCAAGAGCATCCAAGCAGCCAAAACAGGAGTTTTATTTCCCTCCATACTGTGCAGTAGAATTCTCCATCATGGTCTCCGTCCGGTGTGCACGTTGTGGAATCCCCACCAGATTGTCCAGCTTGCAATTTACCTCAAGCAACATCTGAGTCTGAGTGCTTAAGGCATGGCATAACCTTCACTGAGCTAAGGGAATCTTTCATTTGCCCCTGACAGCTCCATCATTTTACCAGATAACCTCCCACTCCAGGTAGCAGAAATCCGGTAATCATAAATCTAAAAATTAACAATGTTCTGGATCTTCCAGGGAAAGACGCGTAAAATTCCACTCTTTCCAAGAATGTATCCAAAATGCATCTAACTGGGTTTGTTCCTTTCAGACACAAGGGAGCTCCCTTCTCTGATCTTAAAAAGGAAAAAGAATGTAGTCAATTGCATTCAGAGACCAGGAGAGCCATGATTTTATAAAAATTTTACATTTTCTGAAAAAATGCAATGACTTGTTCTCAGATAAAGTCAGGATAAACAGCGTTGGGATGATAAGGGAGGCCGAGAAAAAGCAACAGAAAGAAAAAAGCCTCACAGCAGTGGGACCACAGCAGGAAGCCCACATGTTCAGGCCAGGGTGTCCCAGAAAACATGCCTTGGACCAGGGGTGTCAAACTCATATTCACACTGGGCCGAAATGAAAATCTGGGACGAAGTCGCGGGCACAGCTTAATATTTTTTGAAAAAGTAACGGCAAATTAGCACATTTTCCTTATCAACATTTATGCAATTTTGAACCTCGCCGCCCTCTTCTCCACAGGATTCCACGTCTGTGGCGCGGGCGTGCGCCTGCAGCGTCTCCATCCACACTGTTAAATCTGATTAGTTCAGCTTAAAGCATGCAAACCGAAAGCACTCTAAACAACAAGTACACAGGACTAGATAATTATGTGTTAGATCTACTGATTCTTTCAAGTAAATCAACTTAATTACAAGTTATTCTAACCAAGTCATACTAGTACAAAGTACTTGGAAGTTTGTTTACTGAACTACCTTTTCTGAGTTGTATATACTCAAGCTTTAGTAAATTGCAAGCAAAAATTTCAGTACACTGTACTAGTTTGTCTAAGTAATAGTTACTTGTGTTTAAGTAAATTTTACTTTGTATTCAGGAGTATCTTCAAAAGATAATTACCTAGTACCAAAAATTTATCAATTGAAGTGCAATCGGTTTGCGTGCTATTTTCAAGGAAGTGCGACTATCAGCAGTCAGACCTGCTTACTTGAATACAAGTATCTTCAGCTGAGTACGCTGTGTAACAGCCACACCGAATAACACCAGTAAACTCGTGTCTGGTACCCCTCATGACTGCCGGTGAGAAATGATCACAAGGAGCAGAGTCCTGAAACAGCGCAGCAGTCCCATTCCTGTGAGCAGCCTCCTCACATACGGTACCAACACGACACAACGAAGCGATAACTAAGAGCACAACCCCCCAAAATAAACATGCATTCAATCCCCAAAATAGAATAAACTAACTAAAACCAAGACTACCCACAATGCACCTCGCCCACTGCAGCTCCTGCAGCCAGTCGGTCGCTACCTGTCTAACTTAGAATAAAGGGGTGGAGTTTGCGAATGACCTCCGCAGGTGTTCTAGTGATGTGGTACACATTCATTTTAACAGTTTTTTTATATTGTGTACACGTGATGCACAAGTTTGTTCTATTTTGCTGAAAGTTCATTATTACAGAGGAAGTGACAGACGTTACATCGTGTCCACGTTGTTTGTTCACCATCCCCCTTTCACTGGGGTGTAACGGAAGCAGAGCCACACTGTTGTCCTTGTATACTGAGCTCCTTCCAAAGGTGAAAGGCCACACAATGAACCGGCTGAGAGGCCAACCAGTCCTGCTACATCAATGAAAGACTTAAGTACCTCTGTCGGATCTTGAATCAGAGATACGCCCACGTCTAATTTGCCCAAAGTTGGTGCCAAAGCCGTTTCAGTCGAGCCACGGCTTTATTTGTAGTTTCTCCCCATTGTGGTGCTGGTGGTAATCTCACTCAGCAATCCAACAGAGATCTGCAGTTAGCAAGAGTACGCACTGCTCCGGCTGTTGGTAGACCCGCTCAGGCTCTCATGTTGCGTGACTAGACTGACTTGCAAAGCTAAATCCTTTTGCTTCTTCCATGGTCCGTCTACATTTCTAGGCTAGGGTGGAGCAGCGTCTTACTCTGGCCTAGTCAGACCCACTAAGTACAGTTGTGACAAATGTACTTAAAGCCCGTGTTCACTGTCCAGCTGTACTGAATGAGATGTTGTTTCTTTTCCACTGCTTCAGATTCAAAATGAGTTTATTCAACAAGGCTGCCTGAACTTCAGACTGGTTCCTGTGTTGTTCCCCAACGCTACAAAGGTGAGAACAGGCTGCTGCTAATGTCCCTGACATCAAATACGTTTATATTGTTGTTGTTGTTGTTGATAAATCATCATCATCAACCAAACACAGTACATACGTCCTGTATTTCTTTCTGAAAGAAAAAATGAAGTATGCTAAACTGTTCCTTTCTCCAAAGGAGTTTCAGAACTAAAATGTAGGAATAATTAACATTTACTGTATAATAGAGATGCATCGCACCCCCCCCCCCTAAAATAATTACATTTAGAAATTCATTTTCATTGCTGTGAAAGAACAATTGCTTGATTTTATTTGCATGGTGTACCAAGACAGCTGTCTCTGTGGCTGATGTGCTGTCTTTGTTGTGTCAGAAACACGTGCCCGGTTGGCTCCAGAGCACCACGATCTACCGCTGGCCCAGTGACACCCAGGACCTGCTGCTGCGTCTGCTCAGAGAGGAGCGCTACATCATCCCGCCACGAGGCGCCAACCTCACCCTGACTGTTCGATGTCTCTGACACGCACACAGACTCACTCATGTAGCACTGCAGAAGGTTGTGTGACTCAAACGTTATTTGTCCGCAGCTTGCCTCAGCAAGGTCAGAGGTCAACAGACATTCCAGTGTCCAGCAGGTTTCTTCTGCCTGGAATTTTGTGGTCTTCCACACCAAAACAATTCCCTGTTTAACTGTTCTGGCTGTACATCTGGAGGCTTCATCCAAATGATCTCCCGTGCTGACATGGAGCTGTAACTCTGTCCCATGCCGAAGATGCTTTTCCCTTTTAATAAAACAATAAAACAACGTCTCGTAAATGATTTCCTAACTTTACACGTTATTTACAATCATGTTCTGTTTTATCTAAAGTGATTAAATAATGCCTCGACTGCTTCACAGTAATAAATGAATCATCACAACTGTTTATTCTGTAAATAACGCTTTATTTCAGTAATATTATTATTATATTATTATTACAATATTCACTTATCACTTACTGTGGTTCCCATCAGCCTGACCAACAGATGTTCCTTTGTATTTTTAAGTTATTAGGAAATTTTTGTTAAATTTGGAAAGTTTTTATTTATATATAAACACATAAATCACTTTCTAAACTTTATATTTGACTTTTTTTATGATTATGTGGCACACTGGACTTCCACATACAACGCATCGGCATCTGCCTCTCTTTACGGCTTTCTTTTTACATTGTCGCTACGTCTGTCACGTTAGCGGTGTTTTACCATCATTTCTACATCCATCACGTCCCAGAGAAGGTCAAACCAACATCAAACCCAACGTTTGGAGCTTGTAAGCTCCACACATGCACCTCTCGTGCAGCACCAGCTGTCTGATGCTGCAGCAGCGTCCATCTTCCCGGCTGGATGAGTGAATTTCTACATCAGAGTCAATATTCTGCTTCATAATCAGTCAGTCATTAGCAGACAAAGTGATCAGTCAACAAAGACCAGACCTGCCGGCAATTATACGTTTTATCTGATATTGGGGCAGCAGTAGCTCAACAGGTTGAGCGGGTTGTCCAGTAATCGGAAGGTTGCAGGTTCGATCCCAGCTCCAAACAGAGAATTCTGCTGTTGTGTCCTTGGGCAAGACACTTAACCCACCTTGCCTGCTGGTGGTGGTCGGAGGGACCGGTGGCACCAGTGCTCGGCAGCCTCGCCTCTGTCAGTGCGCCCCAGGGCAGCTGTGGCTACATCGTAGCTCATCACCACCAGTGTGTGAATGTGTGTGTGAATGGATGAATGACACACTGTAGTGTAAAGCGCTTTGGAGGCCTTACTCTGAGGGGCGCTACACAAGTGCGGGTCATTTATCATTATCATATTTGCCCTCTTCATGCTGCGCGCATCTCCTCCTCTCCCCGACTGGGAGCCTCTAGGCGGGAGGCGATTTTCAAGCTCTAAAAACTCCCAAACTTTGCTCAGCCTGAAGGTTCCACATCTCCACTATCTTCTGGTGTAAAGTAGTAACTTCATGAGGGATCATGTTTGTAGATGAGACTTGTTAAAGTCAGCAATGGGGCTTTGGCGCTTATAACCATCGACATTAATATATGGACATCTCCTTTCCGTAGGCTCCAATAACACGTTTTTGAGGCTAAATGGGAGGTGACCACCACCGCCATTTTGACAGTGTCACAGGTTCCGTCAAGCCCAGACAATTCCACAAAAGGGAAGAGAGGAGGAGCTGAGGGTGGGGCTGTAAGGCTGGGATCAACTGACGACACCCGGTCGAACTAGCTACAAGCTAACCTGAAGCTAACCCAAAGCTAACGCGGAGGTGGGAGCTAAGCTAATGGAGGTAGCAACCTAGCTACAACCGGAATTAACTGTGCACAACACCAGAGCTTCTGAGTCAGAGATACGCCGGGCTGACCGCTGGGTAAAACCGGGTGGAACACAGAGGTCTCCGAGAGCTCCACAAGCCGGTAGCCCGCGCAGCAGACAAGCGCCGCTGCGATCTGAGATGTGCAGAGCTGCCGCTGGGGAGAACCGGGTGGAAAGGTTTCCATCCCAGAGCTTCACAAGCCGTCAGCCTGGCGCATCAAACAGAAGCCGCGATCAGACAGAGATGTGCAGAGCTGCGGGGAGAACCGGGTGGAAAACATCTGTCTCCCGAGAGCTCCACAAGCCGATAGTGGGAACCCAGCTCCACCAACATGTTATATTTCAACCCATTTTCTAAAGTGCAGCATTATGTTAAATGCACTGGGTTTTACCCTATTACATTTACATTTCATGGTTAAACAGTACATGTTAAAATCTAAGCTCAGCTCGGCAGTGACCTAAAATACATAAATATAATTTTACTTACCAAAAAAAATGAAGTGGAGACTCCTTGGACGCTCTATTAGTGCAATTAATGCCACAGCAAGTCATTTAGTCCAACAATTGCACAAAAAATATCCAAACAAGAACACACACACACAGACTCAAAATCCCGGAGCAGTTTCCAGGCCAGACCGAGGCTCTACTGAGGCCTTTCCACGGAGCTAGCTCTGTGGTCACGTGGGTCTGATGCTCATTAATTATACAGAATTTTAGGCCTTTAATACACTTAAACAGAAGAGCGAGAAAAACATTCACCCCCCTCAGAGTTGTCATGAGTGTAAACTAGATCATTTAAACCAAAAACATGTTTTGGAACCAGGCTGTAAACATGTTTATTTCTGCTGGGAAATTGGTATTTTTAACATGGGAGTCAATGAGGATTTGCTCGCTTCTGGCACCAGCCCCTAGTGGATGAGGGTGGAACTGCAATTTTAGGTACTTCCGGGTTTGACTCCATTTTAGAGCTCCATTGTGGGGGCTTGCTTATAACGAGTAAGTCCCAACACCGACAACAACGTACTGAAACTAGAACCAACATGCATAAACAGACAGATCGGTACCGCCTACTTACACTGTTGGTCTTTTTTAAACACGCAGCAATCGTTGCTTTTCGTCATTTTTCGCTTCATCCTGCATCCTTGCAGCAACCACTTCGGCGCCTCTGGAGTCGGTGTTTGTTTACGTCATGCTGCATTCAATGTAACTGGAAAAAGGAGCTTCAAGCGCCTAACCTCCAATGTTGTTTTCTTTCTGGCCTTAGTTGGGGGGGACGGATCGGGGGGGGGGGGGGGGCAGATCCCCCCCCCCCCCCCCCCCGGTCCCCCACCCTATCTGCGTGCCTGGGACTAGGGAGTGTGTAGAGACATAATTATGGTGTAGATGCCATTTCCTAAACACACATTTTACCTACAGTAGTGAAATCTTAACTTTGTGTTCACCACAAACCTCCAGCTGATTAATGCAGAAAATATTAAACACTAAAAATTAGAAACTTCCCATCTTGTCTGGTTGTGACGTCTTTCAACGCGTCTCTTTTGGATGTTTAATAATCAAATTTAGGCTTCTTATTACTGTGTTAATGTAAAAAAATATATCATTAATGTAATAAAAAGATAATTATTTCCACATACCATCGGAAACAGAACCTCGTATGTCCCAGCCTGGATTCTAACTCAGGTCCTCGGCGTGTACGGCGGATGCTTTACCAGTTCAGCTGTCTCTTTGACACGTGCATGCTAGCTTTACAGTGAGTATACAAAAATATGGAGACATCAGGTGCCAAATAAAACATACTAATGCAACATGGGAACCTGCTGTAGGCTAAATAAAACACACACCCGTTGGTCTTTGCTAAAACTTCACACAAGACCAAAGGAATTCAATTCAAAAATACTTTATTAATCCCAGAGGGAAACTGATTGCTGTAGTAGCTCAGAATAATAATAATAATCAAGTCATCAAAGAGGTGTTGTATATTACAATGGCTGTTGGCAGGAAGGATCTCCAGTAGCGGTCAGTGCTGCAGCCAAACTGAAGAAGCCTCTGACTGAAGACACTCTTCCGTTGTCGGACAGTCTTGTGAAGAGAATGCTCAGGGTTGTCCATCATGTTCTTGATTCTCTGGAGAATCCTTCTTTGCATCATCTCCTCCAGCGGTTCCACAGTCGTCCCCAGAACAGAACCAGCCTTTGTTATTAGGCTGTTGAGCCTTTTCAGGTCCCTGCTTCTGATGCTGCTACCCCCACAGACGATGGCTGAAGAGATTACACTCTCAACAACAGACTTGTAGAAGATCTGCAGCATCTTGCTACAGACATTGAAGGACCTAAGCGTCCTCAAGAAGTGCAGTCTGCTGTGTCCCTTCTTGTAAACGGCTTGGCTGTTCTTTCTCCAGTCCAGTCTGTTGTCCAGGTGAACTCCAAGGTATTTGTGTTCCTCAACCACCTCCACTTCATCTCCCATGATGGAAACAGTGTTTGACTCCGCCCTGTTTCTTCTGAAGTCTAAAATCATCTCCTTTGTTTTGTTCACGTTCAAGGTCAGATGATTGTTTCCACACCATGCCACAAAGCACTCCACCAGCTCTCTGTACTCAGCTTCCTGTCCATCTCTGATACACCCAACGACTGCAGAGTCATCTGAGTGTTTCTGTAGATGGCAGGTCTCTGACTTGTACTGGAAGTCTGAGGTGTACAGGGTGAAAAGGAATGGTGAGAGTACAGTTGGCATGGTTTGGGGAATGCGTTAGCGACAACGGAACTGATGGCATCACATGCAATGGCTGGAGGTGGAATATAAACGGTTGCCAAGACAACACTGGTGAACTGGTGAAGACGGTCAGATGAGCAATGCCAGCAGAGGAGTGGACAGATGGTGTTTCTCCAAATCGGACTACGATTGTTAACCATCTATCCCAATGTCCATGAGACCAGAGCACGCACACACACACACACACACACACACACACACACACACACACACACGCACGCACGCACGCACGCACACACACACACACACACGGTATATGGTTTTAAATCTATCCACCATGTTTTTGAGTAGCCTCATGGAGAAACGCTGATGCACCACCAGGTGAGATACCTGAAGTGTTGCATACCCATTGGTTTGCATTGTGAGGTTTTGTTGCTAGTAACAGTTTTTCTGAACTTTAGAAAAGGATTTAAAAACATAATTAACCCAAAAAATGTAGCAGGCAGCTTGGGAACATGTTGCGCTGTTCGCGCTTGTTCTGACAACCAGAGAAAACGACGTTTGTAGCTACAAGAGCGACGTTTAGAACATGCACCTCCAGAGGGAGAGAGCGTTGCTGCGGTTTTCACCACCTCCCCGGAGACGAGGGAGCCAGAAGGACGTGGCTGAAAAAATTTAACTTGAAAACCCCCACAAACTTTATTTGTGCATCCTTTTTATTTTATTGTGAAAACTTGGAGAGGAACACCTGCATCCTACTTTGTTGTCGGATGTGACAAACCTCTGGAGGAGAAACTGCGCGTGGTAAGGAGATCTGACAGCCGTCCCGCAAGAACAACAGGTACGATTTCAGGTGCACAATTTTCTGAATCGTTATAATTGAAAGTGTGTTTTTATTAAAGTGCCGTCCTGCTGTCTGCATTTCACCTGACGTAGAAACTAAAACCCAAAACACGGTGATGATGGATTTAAGGCTCTGACTCGGCTCTACGTCTGCTTTTAAAGAGCGGGTCAAGTGTGCCTCAGAGTCTTACTCCACCCACGTATCAATTTTAAAAAATGCAACATTAGTAGGCGTTGCCTGGAGGACCGAGAGGGCGGAGCCGCGGCAGTGACGAAGACGATGGCTAACTAGACGAAGCTAGCTCCCTTCACTCTGAGCAGTTATTAGAAGTGGAGGACGTTTCTCCCCCTCCTTACCCAGACACTCGAGAAGAAAGGGACCAAGTCTATTTGGAGGAGACAAGCGGACCTGAGCCTTATTGTTTTGAGCTTGTGAGTTGCCTGAAACTAGCGGAACCGACCCAACAGAACCTGCTCTGAATGGTGAGTAGCCGTTAGCCATAGCATTGGATTAGCTGCAGGGTTTGGCTCCACGGCCCTAGAGAGCTAGTATTCAGCATGTTTTAGAGGTTTATCTGCTTCAGCACACCTGGTTTTAATCAGCAACAAATAGCTGAGTTGCTTAACAGTTAATCTAACCTGTTAAAGCAGGAAAATCCACTGAAACTTCCTGGATAGCAGGTCTCCAGGAGCTCTGGGCTCAAGTTACAATCTGCTGCATAGAAAGTTATGTAAATAAGATTGTGTCCCACCTCTTTCACCAAAACACGGCCAACCTTTACTGTGTTGGTACTGATCCGCCTCGGAGCTTTTAGGATAGTTCATTGCCTCGCTGTTGGATGCCACTGAGCTCAGACAGTAGCTAAAATGCTACTGTACGCTAGCTCTGGCCAGACTTTAAGATGTCCCCCCACCTCTCTGCTTCAGTAGGTAGAAGGAGTGTAATGGCGAGGAGTTGTGGCAGCTGGTGTTCAAGCACGTTTTCAGGCTCTAAAAGCCCATAGAACGAGGAAGGAGCCACATCGTCTCGATGCAAACTCACGTGGAACTGGAAGTCGCTTGCATCTTTGGCGCAAAGCATGATGGGACGCAGGAATACGGTGGAAACATGTCATAGATATAGAAAAATCTTTAGTTACAGACGCAGAAATGTACGGGAAACAATGCTAAATGTTTGCTGGTCGTTTCTGAACTTCAAACGTAGAATTAATAAAAAACTGTTCATGTTAAAAATGGAAAATACAAGCTTGGAAGTTACCAGCATAGGTGTGTGTGTGTGTGTGTGTGTGTGTGTGTGTGTGTGTGTGTGTGTGTGTGTGTGTGTGTGTGTGTGTGTGTGTGAGGGGGGGGGGGTGCTCCACCATCAGCTGTTCTCTTTAAGAGTCCAGACACACTGAGACTGTGTACGGGGGGTTCCACTGAGGAAGCTTTACAGATCCTTAAAGGAACGTGGACCTGGCTGTTTGCAGCGCTGACTGGGCCTCTCCGGGTCTGGCTCGAGTCTCCGCTGAGCGAGGAGGACAGGAAGGTTTAGAGATTATCCCCAGGCTGGTACTGAGGCTCCGTGGCTGTGAAGTAGTCCTCCAAGAAGGCCTGCAGGTATTCAAACGTGGGTCTCTCCTCTGCATCCTTTTTCCAGCACTGCAGCATCAGCTCATGCAGAGAGACGGGGCAGTCCAGGGAGCACGGCATCCTGTAGCCCTGCTCCACCTGCTCCAGCACCTCACGGTTGCTCATCCCTGCAGACACACACACACACACACACACACACACACACACACACACACACACACACACACACACACACACACACACACACACACACGTCTGATGTTCTTACACACATTTTAAAAAGTAAACATTTTTAAAACACTGACTCTCTTTCACTGCTTCATCATCACTAGGGTATTAGAGATGCAGTGTGAGTTGCCATCACACCGGCAGGTCATGGAGAGACTACGCCGGGTGTGCCACAGGGCTCTGTCCTTGGTCCTCCTTCGCCAGCATAATATGAAATTTCATTTTTTTGCTGATGACTGCCAGATCTATCTCCCTCTTCGACGTGGGGAGGATAGATCTGTTTCTCCTTGACTGGATTGTTTGAAGGACATAAAATGTTGGATGGCTTCTAATTTTTTGCACCTAAATGAGAGCAAAACGGAAGTCATAATACTTAGTCCTGGCAGAAGAAATAGCTCTGGTGCTGATATTGACCTTGGCCTATTGACCCCCTATGAAAAGAAAATGGTCAGTAATTTGGGGATTAAAATCGACTCCTCACTTAATCTTGACACTCATGTAAATACAGTGGTGAAGTCCTGTTTCTTTAACCTGAAAAGACTATCCAGGATCAGGCCTCTGCTGTCCAGAGCTCATCTGGAGTCTGTGTTGTGTGCTTTCGTCCTGTCCCGGCTGGACTACTGCAACGCTCTGTATGCTGGTCTGGCCCAGTGCACGGTTGCACGGCTCCAGTTTGTGCAGAACTCTGTGGCTAGGTTCCTGACAGGTACTAGATGTCGAGAGCACATTACCCCAGTGCTGACTGCTCTGCACTGGCTCCCGGTAAAATATCGAGCTAAGTTTAAAATCTTAACTCTCGTTTACAAGGCCCTCCAGGGCAGTGCCCCCTCGTACATTACTGCACTTTTGCAGAGGTATGCTCCGTCTCGGTCTCTTCGCTCAGCCGAGCAGGAACTTCTGGTGGTCCCCCGGTCGAAATATCGACCGAGGGGTTGTCGTGCTTTTTCTGTTCTGGCTCCAATTCTGTGGAATGAATTGCCACTGAGCATTAGGCAGGCACCATCCCTTCATGTTTTTAAGTCTCGTTGAAAGACTCATTTTTATATGATTGCGTTTTAGCGCTAGGGTCATTTGAATTGCCCTGACATTATGGTTTTAATTCTTCTTCTTTTTAACCCACATGCTTGATTTTATTTGTCCACCATTTGTTTTTGATCGATTAGTCTTATTTCCGTTATCTCTCTTTATTTGTAATAGTGTTGGCTTGATATCTTATGATTTTATGTTTTTATCTTGCTTTTATGCCCATGTACTGGGAATGTTTTTCTTATGATGATGCTGTTCAGCACCATGGGCTTCCGATAACGTTGTGGAAAGTGCTCTACAAATAAAATTTGATTGATTGATTGATTGATTGATTGATTGATTGATTCAACCTGCAACCTTCTCGCTGCAAGGAGAACAGTGTACCACTGAGAGAACCCTCTTTCTAAAAGACCTGTAATGGACGCGGAACCTCTCCATCATGGCTAAGGGCACCCGAACAGCATCCTGCAGAGCCTGGGCCTTCTGCTGGT